AGGCTATTTAAGGTAAGTGATTTTAATACTGTTACAGTCTGGCTGATACCTGTTTTATCTAGCTTGATCAATATTAAACTCAAACAAAAGAAATACTGAAGAACTGCAACTCAAGGTAATACTGAAGGAACACCTTTGTAAAAACATATATCTGCCAGAGACAACATTTAAAAAACCACTTGAACAAGAACAGGAAGACTCCCCTTAGAAACATTATTATATAATACAAAGAAGTATTACATAATCCACCACTTAGTTTCAGATGCAATATTATCTGTTAAGGTGTAAGTTGGTCTACAAAGCACTAGAAATTCATTGTTGTTCTTAAAATATAAATTGCACAAATGAATTAGAATCATTGTCATATGGTCAATTGTATCAAAGCAGCTGTTGGACTTCTATCTGTAAGAGCTAGTTCTAATGAATATTTTTCAGTGGAGCTTGAAAGGAACAATGCCTGTTGAATTGTGCACGGCATCTACATCTACTTTTCAGGCTACAGGTAATATGAAGTAGAATTGAAAGCAATTATATACTTGAAATCACAAGTATTGTGGTTCAAATGTATCAGCATTTATTTTGTAGCTTATTAAAATCTATTTAAAATGCAATTCATTGTTTTTTCTTGCTTGTAATAAAGGCATTCTAATTATTTTAAAATCAAGGCCAATTCTTTCTGGCAGGAAGGAGGAATTTAGTGGCAAAATGAACAGGTCCTTTGTGCATATCCCCCCCTACTGGTAAAGTTCTGTAAAGAGGATTTTCAGTAAAGACAAGTAAATAATTGGTAACACCATACTAAGAAAGACTCCATTCTTTATAACCCATTCTGAAAATATGTAATTAACAATGCGATCCTATACCCACTTACCTGACAGTAAACATTCCTGAACTCAAAAGGGCTTCTAAGCAGACATGCAATAGGACTGTACTGTCAGATGATCTATGTGTATGTGCACCACAGCATGGCCAGTGTGGTGCAGTGATTAGAATGCTGGAGTGGGACTTGGGAGATCAGAGTTGTATCCTCCACTAGACCATGAAAATCACTGGGCGATTTCGGTCAGTCACTGACTCTCAGTCCAATATACCCTGCAGGGGTGTTGTGAGGGTAGTGTGGAGAGGAGGGGGCTTATGCAAGCTGCCTGGGGTTCCTTGCCCCCCAAAGGCAGAATACAAATATAATATGCATATTTCATTGCAATGGCAGCCTGTAGAACTAAGGTTCTACCCACACCTCATATCTCACCAGTCATGCCAAGCCATCTTTCAAAAGTTGGGTGTTAGAAAGAAAAAGCATAAAAAAAATTGAAGATTATTTCTTTGATCCTACAGCAGCTCCTTTAGCCTGCTAAAAATGCTACACCAAGAGTCAGGAGCCCCTGCTGGATAGAGTGATCTGTGGGGTGTGTCTGTGTAGGATTCCCCAAGATTTGGAGAGAGGACTTTCTACCAGATAAGCCTTTCTTCTGGCAGAACACAGATCCTGCATTCAGCCCTGTGCCTGGCCATGCATTCATTTACATCAGATATGTAGCTACTACTTGTTCAGCTGCCATTAAAAATACAGCACTGTCTTTATGGCTGACTTACTGTAACTTGGTATAATCAATATTAAGCAAATGTTCTTTAGAAATCTGAAATGCAAAAAGCTGGTTAATTAAACAAAGTATTACAGCCAATGAGCCTGTTTGTATGATCACAGTAGCTTAACAAGCTTAAGTGGTAGCATGTGCTAGGCTCATTTGCATAATCATCTCCCTGGCTGCAGCTTGTTGTATTGTCTGAATCCATGTTGGAGTTTACTTGAGGGTAGGTCACTTGAGGGTTGTTTCCCTCTCTGCCCAGGTTTAGTCAACATAATAAACTGTGCCCAGGTGGATGGTTAGGTAGATGCTGCCTGGTATAGCTTCAGTAAGTCACCATGGCTTATTCCTCACCATACTAGGACTGTACAAACTGGCCCACTAAAGAAGCACTATAGCTCACTGGCAGAGCACATGCTTCATCTTTGGCATCTCCAGGTAGTCCTGAAAAAACACATCTGACACCCTGGTAAACTGCTGTGAGTGGAGGTAATACTGAGCTTCATGGACCAGGTAATACGGAACTGCATGGACTTTGCATAGGGCAGTTTCCTATGTTCCAAATAAACATCACACAGAAATAATTTTTAAGGAGTGTTTGTGCCCCTCCTCAATGAACAAAGTATTAAAAAGAGATTTGACTTCTGTCACATATACATACCATCCAAGGAAGTTAGCGTGTAAATAATATGGATGGAAAATTTTTAAAATTATATTTTATGGAATGATTTCAGTTTTTTATAAAAATACATTTAATACTGAATTCTTTTCAGTATTCACCATGAATAATATCTGTGTCCCTGAACAAGTTCTGGTGCAGCTAAAAGAATGGCCATGAACACAGCTGTGCACTCAATTCTTATGCTTCCAGCTGACCATACATACAACAGCCTCATCATGTGTCATCAGAGACGCTGAAACCCACTAATTAATTAATAGGATCAGATTATAAAGACTAAACAGCCCATTATTTTCTTGGTTATTCCAGTTCCTTATGAAGAGCTCCTTTGGCTTAAACTGTGGAGATACTTTCTGCAAGGCATTGAGAATGGTTTTTTCTTAGCTTTTGTTTCTAAAGAGCTTCAGCTATTGGTGATATAAAAATATAATACAATAACTAAGAATAAAAAAAACTGTTAAAGACAAAAATGCAAAGCTTATGTTATTCACAAATAAGAGGAACAGGGGCATACTCCCTCTAGTGGCAAATTTAAGTATGTAATACATTTTAAACAATTTCTTTACCAGCCTTTCAGCTCCAAACATTGGCACCAGTGCTAGGAAGATTGTTGCAGCATCATGTATTTCATTTCTTAACATCATGGCATATTTTGTAGTATAGCAACAGCAGATGCATCCTAACATAACCAACTATTTGCTGCTCACTTGTAAGTAAACCTCACTAGCATCAATAGAGACAGATTTGTAAGGGAGGAGGCTATCAGTGGCTCCTAGCCTTGCAGGCTATGTGCCACCTCCTTCACCAGAGGCGACATGCCTGCATACACTAGCTGTTTAGGAGCTTGGGCAGGAGATGGCTTTGCACCCATCCTGCTTGAGGGATCCTGTGGGCAACTGGTTTGCCACCTTGTGTACAGAGTCCTGGAATAGATCGACCTTTGGTCTGATCTGGCATAGGTTTTTTATGTTCTTATACTCTTATGAGACTACACCAAAGAAACTATACAGTGTATAGTTGTACATGCAGCACAAGATGGCTATGAATGTGTCAACACAAAATCATAAACTTACTTAAAACATTGAGATTTTTTTGAGATTTTTTTGGTAACTCGATTGTGTGGTTCTTGAGCGTGAACTTTGCAGATGACATTTGTCAAATGTCATGTAAAATAAATGTATGTATGCTCTTGCTATTTGTACGCATGTGTTGCTTCAGTCTTGTGGCTTTGTGCAGCTTTCATTTGTGAGCAACTGTTTTCAAGAATGAAGGACACAAAGAGTAAAATTGGAAGCAAAATATCTGATGAGCACCTTATGAACTCACTGAGAATTGCAACTACTTCCATACTTCCAGTAGTATGTATTAGTTTCTCAAATACAATGTTAAATATTTCACTAGTTTTATGTTGTCCTCTTTTTACTTTTATATTAAAAATATTAAAAATCAATGAAGTTTTATTACTTAGATCTATTCATTTTCTTTATTAGGGATTGCCAACTTGGGACCTGCTCAATGATTTTAAAAAACTCTCCAAATGGAACACTGCATAATTAGATTATGTGAGGACTTTTTTGCTTATCTGTAGTGGCGGATATCACAAAAATTATGCACAGACCTTTTTTTGCTCATCAGTTTTCATTAGTGTTCGTGTATTTAATATGTGTCCCAAGACTATTCTTCTTCCAATGTGGCCCAGAGAAACCAAAAAGTTGGACACCCCTGCTATACATAGAGTGGAACTAGCAATATTCATAAATCTACACAGGGAATTACCAATAAATATGCATGGACTCATTCTGTTAGTTATATAAGTATGCACCACAGGAAGGCTCAGGCTTGTGTGCTTCTAACCCCCCTTCCCACCTCTTCTACATGTTGGAAGAGATAATGCTTCAGATTTGTCTGGAATCTGTTTCTCCCTCTGGAAACACAAACCTGTAGTTTCTACCTGCTCCAGTTAACTAAAGACCATACTGTAGCTTGTCATCCTAGTTTTACTAACTATAGCTTGTATAAGCCAGTATCTTGCATGCCAATAATTTTGTAGTACCTTAAATACCAACTATATCCAAGGACATAGTTTCTGCTTCCCTGGATATACACTTTATTACAGGCCAGAAAAGGATCATAGATGTCAGGAGCTCTTATGTTCAGAAAAGCTCCTGAACATAAGTTAACACTTGGTGTGGTATGAAGAAGCTGCCTATTAAAAGGGGGTGTCTGTTGGGGATTGGAGCGAAGATTAGAAATGCTTAACCATCCATAGGTTTACTGACCCAGATGGCAGAGTAAAATGACCCTATGACCACAACCACTTGCAGTTCCTTCGATAAACTGGAAGTATACTTGGCCATACACTTGTCATTGTAATCCCCCTCAAATTATGGGAAAACGGATGTTGCTAACAGTGCTACATCATTTGTCTGTTTTCCTGACTTTCGGATTCTTATTCCTGGTAAATCACTATCCCTTAATCTTATAGTCAATGCTTCAGAAACTAGAGCAGGACAGGTGTGTGGAATTCAGGCAGCAGTCCTTGATGAGAAACGGGGGTATTTCTGTAATTTCATACACGTCCCTAACTGCGTCAGTAAAATGCTGCTTGCTATGTGACTACCTGCAGTCGCAGGCATTTGTCAAAGAGGCGGAAGGTACGCTGACTTCCTTATTCCCTCCTCTCCGTCCAAAAATCGGCCATTTTATGTAGAGTTAAGGACTTCTCAGCCGGTGGATCGCAACGTATTAAGCTCTCCTCGGCTGCCGTAGAATTTGGCGGTCTCCAGCGGCAGCGAGTGACGCGCCTACTTTTCCGCCCCGTCCGCGCCGCTTCGACTTCCGCCCCACCCTGCCTACGTCCGGAAAGTCCGACGACCTGGAATGCAATTGTTTCCGCAGCCGCTCTGCTCCTCGCAAGCTGTGCGGTTCTACTGCGCAGGAGGTTTTGCGGCGTGGTTGACGCTTTCCGCTCTCGGTGCGTACCTCGTATTCTGGACAAAACCTTTCGGAGGTTTATCAGGCAAGTGAAGCGGAAGGCAAAGCAGAGCAGGGTCGGGCAGTTGCGTCAGGGAGGTGTACTGGCACCGGGCTGTAGCCCTGGAAGATTGGGCTCCTGGGGGTTGTTGGGTCTGCTCGTGAAAGTCTCCGTGGAAGCCGCCTCCCCACCACACCACTCCCCAGCACCGCCATGTGGGCTGGGTAAAACGCGTCTCCAACTCTGAAGAGCTGTTTCTAGTCGGAGTAGACCCGCCTTCCCCACTTCAGATTGCTAGCATTCCTGACAGTTTGCTGTGGTGACTGGGGCTGATGGGATTCTTAAAAGTGCAGAGGTGGCCAGCTTGGGGGGGGGGGTCTAGTGTAGACCAGAGGTTCAGCTTTACTAAACTACCTTGACTTTCACTTATTCTTTGAAATCCATCAACCGAAGCCAGATGTCACAATTTCGTCGAGACTTTTTGTATTGGACGGGACAGAAATATCTAAATAAATAAATAGATTGGGTCAAAAGGGCTTCTGTAGAGTTTAGGACCATGGAAGTTCTGAGCGGAAGAACTCGTTTTCATGATGAGAATTGAACTTACCACCCTTCCATGCACAGAGTTTCACAGCAGCCACCCCGCGCCTAGAACAGTAGCAGAGAAGCTTTATTTATGCTTTGAACTATCCCGACAGGGATATTTCAGTTGTTGCTTCAGAATTAGAAATGCATGCCAATATACTGCAAATCATCCCTTCCAGGAGTTCCTGCTCTATCTTCTATCTCCACTGGCCTTGACCCCCATCCACATATACTGAGCTGGACACACTAATGGCCTGACCATGCATGAAATAGCTTCTGCTGTTGCTGAAACGGGCAGTGTGATGGGGTTTGCAAAGCACAACTATCATTGTTGCCTGTCACTTTTTTGCCTTTTTGCTCTGTTAGGATTAGATCTGTAGCATTACCCAGTAGTGGTTGCTGTGGTGAGTAAACAGTCATAAACAGCATTTCCCCAGAAGGCAAGCCAGTGGGGCTAAGAGAAAAGTAATTTGCTCAAGAATTTTAAATACAAGGCAGAGATGAGGGCAGTGTTCCAAAGCACTTTTAAACCCAACTTACTGCTCCAGCATCCATTTCACAGCAGATCAATGAAGTTCAGACACAACTTGGTCAAGAAGCTTAGGGCTGGGGTCTTGAGCCCCAGATGCTTGATTACATATTTGTGCATCCATGAACAAATTAGCCTATAGGCAGTCTTCTCTTGTGAGTCTGTTGCCTACTCCTCTTCCCCTTGAAGGCTGCAACTTTCAAGACTGCACATATCAGCCATAAATGTGCACTTGCGCAAATGTAAAAGACCAACTCACCCCCATTACAAAAAAAGTGGAACAAGGCTGCTTAATTTTCTGAGGATGAAAAAAGTAGGCCAGACAAGAGATGCCCCAGAGCACCACTTGGACACGAGTGGAAGGATTTTTACTGGCAGCACAGGCAAGATTGTAAAGGGCAGCAGGGATTTTTGGTGATCTTTTTGGATAGCTCTCTAGCCAGTTCCTACAACCCAAATGAAATTGGTCTCTTGGGGTGTTGTGTCATCCAAACTTAGTTACTATTTGGGATAAAATCATTTTGGAAGCTCTTTTTTCTGGTTTGTAATGGCTTCCTGAGATTAGTTAGAAGGAATATAGAACTACTTAAAGAGATCTGAAATGGGGGACACAAGGTCTTCAGTTTCAGTCTTGGAAGCTACTAACAGGCCATGATACCAGTTATTCAGAATTGTAAATTAGAGGGAGGATATAAGGCAGCATGTTTTCTGTGCTGTAATTCTCATGGGTGGCTTTAGGAACTCTGAGACTATTACTTTAAATTCAAATTCTGAATTTTTACAGGAAAGCACAAAAGTGCTTCCAAAGAAGCATTCTCAAAACTGTGGTACAAGATGAGAAAATGCCAAGTGTCTGAATAGACTGGAGGCTTTACGTATAGGTCACAGCTGGTAATTTTCTTAAGTTTGTCCAAATCATCGCCTAATTCTCTGATGCTTTTATGCACACACTGTATAATCAAGCCTGTATATGTCCATATTCCAGTCCTATGGACTGAATAGTATTCGTTCTGAAATCTTTTAGAAACATTTGGCTGGAGTCATGACGAGGTGGGCTCGAGCTAATGTCACCCACAGTAAGAAGGCTCTGGATGCAACACCATGGGAGGATATGAGAAATGATGCCACTAGTACCTCCGCAACAAATAAAAAGCAAAGCTCTTCAAACAGGCTTTCTTTAAAGAGTACCCAGGGGAAGAAGAAAAACAAAAAGAAAAAAGACTATTTAAATGAAGATGTCAATGGTTTTATGGAATATTTAAAACAGAACTCTCAAGTGTTGCATAATGGATTGGTGATCAACAACCATGAAGCAAAGAAAGAAATAGCTACAGCCTTGAAAAAAGACAGGCGGCGAGAGGAGAGAAGAGTGAAGAGGCAGGAAATAAAGAAGAACACAATGGTAAGATACTGCTATGTTGCTTTGCTTTCTTATGGCTACTTCTTACAGCACAAGCAGCATGCCACCTAGTCATGCATCTGAAACAGCATGGATAATTTATTGTATTTTAATTGTATTTATTTTTTATAAAAGAAACTGACATTTCTCTTAAAGAATTATTTGGTTAATATTATTCCTGTCAATCTATATTGGTAGAATGCATTATAGCTAATATAAATGCACAGTTAATTTATTCAGCTCAGGCCACATCCAGAGAGATTGTAGAAGCAGATGCCCACAGAGCAAATGGCTCATAATCACACTTGAAAGCCATACACTGCAGGTAGAGACACAATTTTTATTTTTCTTTATACTCTTTGATTTATGTTAGTTTTACAGAGCGATGGTACTTGCATTCCAGTAGTTTTGTTATGCTGTTATGCTCCATTTTGGAGCAATATATACTTTTGACAATTCATAAAACTTTTGGAACTGATTATGATGAATTAATGAATATACTCAACATCACTTGGTGCTGTAAGTGCCAAGATCACCTTCCATGCTGCTGGCATCAACTTTTTAATTGAACAAGGAAGTTAAACAAGAATTTTTCTCTGGATGTGCTAATGTGACCCTGTTCTTTCCTGCTGCAATCCTGAAAAAAGTCCTTCCTCCAAAGTTGCTATTTGCTTTGGAGAAGATAACCTCCCAATAAAAATGCTTGCTTCAGCTGAAGGACTTCTCATGATCACAATACGGAAGAAAAGAGAACACTACCTTTTCCACACATGCTCTGATTCCTTTAACAGTCGTCCACAAAGCTGATGTCATTTGCATTTTTCAAAAACTGTATGTTAAAAGGCCCATTTAATGTGTCTCCTCTAGTTTGGCTCTAAAGCTCAAATGCTATGTCAATCTTAATATTAATTGTAGTCACTACTTTTGATTCTTATTGGTTTGGGGGTAAAATTAATTTGAAATGTGGAGTGGAAAAAGAGATTGCCTGGAGTTTGTTGTATCCCTTTCTGCACACTTGGTAAATCACCTTGTATTGTCAAAGGTGTGCTTCCACTGCAGAAAGCCAGGACATGGAGTTGCTGATTGCCCAGCTGTACTTGAAAGCCAAGATATGGGAACTGGAATTTGCTACCGGTGTGGCTCTACTGAACATGATATCAGCAAATGCAAAGTAAAAATTGATCCAGCTCTTGGTACGTTCAATAACCACAACTCTGTACGTGTATCCTTGGTCACTGTTTCTGCTTTTCCGTATATTTGTTCAGCAGTTCTCAAGATATGAAGGACTTAACAATTCCTTATTATAGTAGTGTTGGTTCACTCCATGTTTTATAAATAATTTTAATGTGAATATTGCAATTATAACATTAACATTACTAAATACTTTCAGGAGAATTTCCATATGCAAAATGTTTTATTTGTGGTGAGACAGGACATCTTTCAAGATCATGCCCTGATAATCCTAAAGGACTTTATGCTGAAGGTGAGTATAATGCTTTTTTAAATGCCCCTTAATATGTTTTTATAAAGGTGACGAATTGATGCACTTGAAAACACTTCCCTTTCTCAGTTCAAGATCTTGAATGAAAAAGGCAGCCTCAGAGAGGTGTAATCTGTAATCATTCCAGAGTTTTTGAGAAATTCTATCTTAGAATCCAATAAATATTACTATATAGAATTAGTTCTTCTTGAAATGGCAAAATGCTGCCATGAAGGTTTTTCAGAATATGTATATGAACAAGCAACAACAAAAGCAAATTTTGGGGATGTAGAACAATATTCACTTATTCTTTGCGTATTGTTTTTGGGTGTGCATGCACATGCATGCTTATTCGTGTGTGTGTATGAGTTCATATGTGCCGCATGAATGTTTGTTTAGATTTCTAAGGAGCAGGGAGTGCCATAGCACCTGCTATATCATGAACAGTTTTGAATTTGTTCTGTCCTGTTCAGAAAAGTCAGTTAATCCTGTATGTGTCTACACAAATGGAAGTGTCAGTAAATAAAATGCCACATACTCCCATTCTGAGTAATGTACATGTAGCATAGGTGGGCAACCTGTTTTGGTCTGGGGTCTAGCTGGCAAGCATGATCATGCCAAGGGAGCAGAATGCCATTGGGGGGGGGGGGTTGCATTTCATTATAAACCATTTTATATATTTGATATTAAGCATGCAAGAACACTATCCATATATTGCAATCAATACATCTGTTTTATATTTCAATCATTTATAGGAGGTTCATGCAGGATTTGCGGATCTGTGGAACACTTTAAAAAAGATTGTCCAGAGAATCAAAACTCAGGTAGGGGTGCCAGAATTTATCAGAAGGTTGAGTTATGAATGTATAAATCATTCTGTAGTTAGTGAACCTTGAGGTAGTAAATGTCAGTTATAAAGCTATTTGAATAATCCTTGATCATTTGTCACCTCATGGACATACTTATGTACCATTCGATAACACTGCATCTTTAAACGGGCCATTAATTCGGCATGTGATGCTAAGGTTACGTTAGGTCCAAATGCATCTACTGTTGCAGCTGGAAGCTGAAACTAACACAATGCTGTGTTGCTCTTTTTGGCTGTGGAAAATTTCAGAACTGGACTATCACTAACCCTGTTCTGAGAGCTTTTCACTAAAGAACGGTATATAAAAGCTTTAAATAAATAAAATAATGATTTTTGGCATTTGCTAAAAATTTGTTACTGTTTCTTCTTAAAAACTGTTTATGGAAATTTAAGAGTAAGTTCCATTAGATTCAGTGATACTTATTTGTGTATAAAGAGTAGGTCATTTTTAATTCAAATCTGAATTCTTTCTATTGGATAATTTTATTTTTGTGCAAATAGTGACTGATGGCTTCACATATAATGTTAAGCGACTAAGTGTTAACACAGTCATATTCTAAATCAGCTCCATTTTTTACCTGGTGTGATTTGATTCGACTTCACAGTGGATAAAAGTGAAAAATACTAGGGTGGTTCATATATAGCAATGCCATTTAGTGGCAAATCATGGGTTGATGAATTAACCCACAATTTGCAGGAGATGTGCTGTGTGCTAGCTGTTTCCAGTTTGCAGCTACAACCTGGAATGCCCCATTCACAGATCACTGAAATGATATCCCAACCTGTACATGTTGGCTTATTCATGGGTTAAACAACCCAAAGATTTGTTTAACCCATGAATAATCCAGAGTGCCTTGGTGCGATGTTCAAGCTCACAGTCTACAAATAGGCCATTTTAGGTTGTTGCTACATACTGAAAGCAGCTTGTATTGTGCACACAGTGCTTAAGTTATGGGCTACCTAACACATGATTTGGAACGAAATCTTAAGTTATGTGGAAACCAGGTCAGTATATAATCACTGCTCTAATAAATACTGAGATAAACTATACTGAATTGTTGAATTACACAGCCTAGGTTTACAGCATTCATGTGGCTTATAACTGAAAACTGATTTCTTGTATTTTCACATTTTTCTTTTGTTTTACAGAACGAGCCATAACTGTTGGTCGGTGGCTCAAAGGAATGAGTGGAGATTATCAAGAAATTCCAGAGAGTTCTAAACAGGAAAAACCCAGACCAAAAATAGCTAAAGTTGTTAATTTCTGACAATTACTGTTTGGCATTATTTTTTATAACTATTCTTAGTATATGGCTAAAAGCTGTAATACTACTGTTTTATAGTTCCAGAAGATGCCATAATTATCCCATTGGTCTCCTTGTCTAGGTGATGATCACTTAATCTAAACTGATGTTTCCTAGGCAGGGAGGGAAATGCTTTGTTAGGTAGACAAATTGCAGCAAGGAGCTCCTGACAGCCTCTTTCTGAACAGGATGTTTAATCTATGCAGTTACTGGCTAACTAGCCTGAGCAACATGTTGCTCAGTGGCAGCTAGTGTACCAATAAACAAAAGTGAGGGGGACTAGGTCAACCCCCCCTTTTGTAATTCATGCTTTGATACATTAATATATTCATGATAAATTCATGCTCTGATAGGAAGTATGTCACATTAAATTGAGTCCTGTTTAAGTGTCACTGTAGATTTTTGCACTATGGATGAATAAATTATGCAGCCATTTTGTGAACAGTTGTGGATGAGAATCCAAGAACCATATTCAAACACTGTTCATAGCAGAGCTGATCTTGCAGCATGAGAAACCTAGTGCAAATAAAATGATTCTGGAGGTTTTCTGAGTTGAATAAGCTACTTGCTGAATTTATTCTCCCCACCCTCAAATGAACCAGGGTAATAAAACCATACATATCTCTTTTCATGTTTTCCGAATAATTGTATTCTTCATAGTGTTGTTGTTTGCAATTTCATTTTTGGAATTTCTTACGTCTACGGCTGTTGTGTGACACTGTGTGATAAACACAAATCTACTCTAAACACCATTTTGCTTTAGAAATTGCTTGCACTGCAACGGGTTGCAAAGTGTATGGCCTGTCTGGTCATGTGATAACTGCAAAGCCTGTGTGGATTCAGGAAAAACTTCTCTGAGTAATTCCAGTTCAAGGAATAGAAATTACAGGCATGTGGGAAGTGATTGCAGCTAGCAGTCACAGCAAGGTGTGCATCACAGCTTGAAGAAAAAGGAAGGGCTACAGTATATGGAAGTGCTTATGCTTTGTTCATATTAGTTCCCAGGATCAATCTCAGGTTTTCCCACCCAGGAATGAATGGGAAAGTTGGACTAAGTCAGTGTTGGCATTACTGAGCTAGATTGGCCAACAGTCTGACTCAGTTTGCCAAACAGATTAGCTGATGGCTTGGAAGGTTATGCTGCAGTCAGCATTGGTTCTTCTGGTCCCATAAAATACGGGCATCTGTTTAATGTAGCATCTTATTTACATTTTATTAAATGTAAATTTACATTTGCAGGCAACATTATAACATAACTACAGGTATGTGTACGTAATATAAATTCCCTGATTTGGCTTTTACTCCTTTATACCTTCTCAGATGCCAGTTCTTTCAGTGGCTTTTTTAACTTATATCTGTTCTAGTATTACTAAACATGCAAATATATATATCTGAGTGAAACACCAACTAATTGTAAACTTCAGGAACATGAAAGAAGCTAGGATACTATAAATTAAAGTTGTCATTTTGCAACAAAGGCATGAAAAGTCTTTTCAGTTGATTTTATAATGCACAGTGCCTTTTACAGCACTTGTAGCATCATACAAATAAAATGGAGCTGAAAAATGGAAAAAAAATCAATAGTTTAGCATCCTATTTGCAAGAAAGTAAACATGTCAGAAGATAGGCCTTGTTTCTCAAACTGCAATGTCATAGGGTAAAACGTAATGAAACTATTAGGAAGGTACACCTCACTGGCACATTTTGTTCTGTTGAAATCAAGTGGAATTGTACAGCTTTCCTTAGGAGTTCATCAAAATATAATTTAAAATCAACAGAATGGGTTATTTATTGCACTGCAAAGTATCATGAGACTCTTGTACAATCAAATTAATTTGCATAACTTAAAAAATTCTAATCTAGGAGTAGTCAATGTAGTATCTTTGGGGACCAGTCTGCCCACAGATAGTGTTCGTGGAGCCTGCCCAACATGAGTGACCCCATTTTAAACACGTTAAAAAATAAAGATTTGGGGCATGAACCATAGTGTGCCCACTTCTGTCATAAGTTAACAGTGGACCCAGTGGCAGATGCCATGTATGGACAATGCAGATGTAAAAGCAAGACATAAACACAGGCTCATAAACTGCTCTTGACCTGGTATGCATTTCACAATAAGCCATGGTGGGTTTTTGAGCCCTGTTGCTGTCAAGACAGCATGGTGTGACATCTGAACCCAGCAAAGATGACTCAGTGCTGTTTGTTAACCACACATAAGCTGTTCTGTCAACCTGCTGTTGAGGCTTGCTGTGATGTGCAATCCTGGCAGTGTGGCTTGTCAGCAGCTTGGCAGGAGTCACAATGCTACTTTAAAAAAGCAGCAAAAAGCCTGGCTGCCGCACATGATCTCACTTCTGCCATCTCCAGCTTTCCTTGGCAGGGATGAAGATGCAAGACGTGTCACAAAGAGCCATCGGCAGCAGAGTATGCTTCAAGAGTGCTCAGCTGTCTGTCAAAAGTAATAGGTTAGTGAATGAAAAAACAGCCCACCATAGCTTAGTGAGCAAACAACCTACCTACCATGGTTTATCATGATGTCTGACACAGCCCCTTATGTACATACAATTAACAGCTGAATAAACAAATTCTTTACAACAGAAACAGCCACTTAGATCTAAAGTGGCTATTTAAACAATCAGTTCATCTTAACTACATGAAGAAATATGTACTGTGTTGACAAGCCAAGAGCTCCAAAGGATGCAGTGAGATTTTAGAGATGGCTTAAAGAGCTGTCATTCAACATGGATGAAATGGCAGATTGTGCCTGTCGTAATTATAAATGAAGTGGCAGTTTATTTATCAGGTTGATAACACTACTGTGATAAATTATGCCCAAGATTTAAAGCACTATGATTTCTAAGTGCCTCAAACTGCACTTGACTGAATGCAGTTCATCTTGCTGCTCTTGGACTCCAAAAACTGGACACATATAGAAGCTATACCTTCAATAGACATTGAACAGTCTAATTTGCAGCAAAACAAGGCATGATGCCACATGTACCTTGGATGAAGTAAGACACCTTTAAAATATATGTAGGTTAATGTATTTCATTTCTTGACATAATCTCATTCCAATTCATATTGAATATATTAGGCCAGCAAAACAAAACAAAACTAGTTTTTGATGGTCAGCAGTATAAGAGTGCAAGAAAAAGTCAATAATTGCTAAACTGCTTGGAGAAAACGTGCCACTGATTTTGGCTACTTACTGAGGATGTGCAGGTAGCAGTGGCATGCCTATGCCATCTAGAGGATCTAAGTCAGAAGGGTATTTAAATATTCCTGTATCCAAAAGGCTCATCATTTTGTCACGGCAAAGACCTCAGGTATGTATTTGATAGTCCCTAAGGTGGTAGGAAGTAAATGCATTTGCCAGTGTTTACAAATTAATTGGTCATTTTGATGAAGCACCTTCTTTCCTTTATATTTCTGACATTAAAATCTGAATGTAAAGGGTCAGATCTGATACCACCATTGCACAAGTAGAAGGATATTGCTTGCAGAATGGGTCCCCTGTGTTCCTTTTCCCACTTCAGCCTTGACCCAGTCTTCCACATATCCTCTAAAGGAACTCCCAACCCTTGCAGATTTATATTGTTGCAAGGGAGAGGGGAGGACATGGAAGTCCTTTCCTACCATCCTTCTGCTTGTGCAGTGCCTTTTACAGCACTTGTGCAGAACATTTGTTCTTATTTTTAATTGTAATTATCTGGATAATTATTATATGGAAAAATTATATTTGGCTCAGGGGTATATTCCTGATCGTGTCTACTATTAATGTTACTTCCAATCAAACTGAATTTGAATGAAACATGTTGATTAGATACTTGGCAGGGAGTAGAGAAGGACTAAATTTAGGCTTTTACTCCATCTTCTACCAGTGGCCCCACACCCATTCAAGCATTCTTTAAAGGACTTTACCTGTACCTTAGTTTGAGAAGCAGACCTCTACATGGGAAGAACCTCACCTCCACACTGGGCAATCCTGCCTTTCATGTCTGTTGGCACCATTAAACTGTTCACCTTTATTTAAAATACGCCCTTTCTTCCTAAGGTAGCTGGTAATTAGGTGTGAAACAAAATTGACCAGAGGTACAAGGGCAGTAAATAAAGTTACACAGTATCTTTTCACCCTCTAGATGATTTTGGGTTAGTCACTGACTTCCAGCCTACCTCACAGATTGTTGTGAGGTTAAAAGGAAGATTCTGTAAGTTTCCTTGGGACCCTTCAGAAAAAAGGTGATATATAGTAATAATTTATCAGTGTTGCCACTGCATACTAAGTCAGAGAATTGATCCATCAAGTTTTTGATGCTGACAACAGCTCTCCAGGATTCTGAGAAGGGGCTCTTCCTGCACTACTTGGGAAAGGATACGATCAAACCTGCAATATCCTGAGCTAGATGTCCCCCCTTCTGCCATAAATGCAATATTATCAGCACCCTATAGCAAACACTACTGTTGTCAAAATACCATTTCTCCACTTTTGAAGCTGCCTTAAGCATTAGACTACCATGTTGGTCATAAAACAGTAAGTTGCTTGATTTTGTCTTTTTTGTGCAAGAGGTTTGTTCTACTTGCATACCTTAACTCTGTACTTGATGAGAGACTGTCATTACATTTTGTTGCTTATGAAGTGTACACACTATAATAAACAGAGTTTAAAAAGTGAGGGCATGCAACATTTGCAAAGACAGAAAGGAATTCTTTCATGGTGGGCATGTCGTGAGCGGAGTCGGCTGGTGCCAGAGGTCAGACTAGATGGCCTGGGAGGACCCTTCTGACTTGCTCTGTTTCTATGTTTCTTTCCATCCTCCCCCTTGGTCTTGTGCTGCTTTTCTTCTTTCCATCCCTATATTCCTTCCCTTGAGAGCTAGTGCCCAGAAACACCTTGTTACTACAGTTGCTTCTGCAAATAATATTTTGTCCTGAATTTCTCAAGATCAGACATCGTTACAGACTGGCAGCTATAACTTCTTCTTTAAACATTCTCCATGAAAAGAGGGACCCGGTAGTCAATTCAACTATTGCTACAAGACTAGTTAGCTATAGGATTTCCCTGGGCTAATCACTATTTCAGCAGAATCTTTGTTTTCTATAGAAAGTAGGGTCAAGAGATGAGATACACATTAAGATGAACCATTAACCTGATATATGCCTGGAGGGAAGAAAAGGGGACAGGAAAGATGTTTTACCTAAGCAGCCTTCCACTCAGACAACTAGGAAGTCAACCCTACATGTCTTTCCAATATATTTTACTGAGTAATCGAACAGTATCACATTTTACAAGAAACAATAGTTTTATCCAAATTCTCATAGAATGTGATTATTGTTGCTTTATAGTAGAAAAACATAACTGAGTTTAACTGCCACTAAAGGCTGTGCTTTCCATATTTACCCAGACTTATGGGGGTTTTCTTTGAAACACAATAATTAAAACATCATTGGGCATGTTTCCATTAACTGATGAGGAGGTAGTGTGGTATATTTTGTCCTTTTCAGTCACACTCTGTTTGAGTCTACATGTTCTGCAAATAAATAGAAATGGAGTTCAGTATCTGAGGTGTTGAGTAGAGCACTGGGTAAAGAACATGTTCTTTATCATCTAAATTGTGGTGGGAAATGTACA